ACCCTAACTAACCCTAACTAACCCTAACTAACCCTAACCCTAACCCTAACCCTAACTAACCCTAACCCTAACTAACCCTAACTAACCCTAACTAACCCTAACCCTAACTAACCCTAACTAACTAACCCTAACTAACCCTGACCCTAACCCTAACCCTAACTAACCCTAACTAAGTTCGAGTCACTAACACTTTTCGAGATCCTTAACGTTATATATATACTAGTTCCACTACCTTTTAAACGGTTTATTTATATAGTTATAAACGACGACGACTCGGTTACGAGGATTCGAGAATTTATACGGTTTAACCTTAAATATTATTTTTAATTCTAAGATTTAGAATTCTCGATCTTTAAAAGTGGAATAGTTCCCGTAAACCTTAAGTAATAGTCGTATCTTTAAATCTTTCGATTTACACCCCTTTTACGTTTTTTCGTCGACTTTTAAGTTATTATTTAACTAAGAAGAATTTTCTTTAAATAACGGGGTTAAAGAAAGGGATATGGTGGATTTATCTTTAGTCTTCTCGTTCCGGTAAAGGACTCGTTAACGTCTCACGTCCTTTAAAACCGTAATCCTTTCTTTAAAAGTTCGTTTCCTTTCGAACGTTATTAACTTTTTTTTTTAACGTCCTTTCTTCGTTATTTTTCTCTTTTACTTACTCTTCCGTAATAGTGTTAATTTTACTACCTTCTTCTCTCTCTTTACTATTAATTAACATTATTATTACTACTTTAGTTTTTAAAGATTCGACCGGGCCCTCGACCGTAAGTTATAAGTTAAAGTCTTTAAGGATAAGGTCGACGTTTACGTATAAGAGACTCGTAAGGCCTCGTAAGTAAGAACGGGTAACTCGGTTCGACCCGACGGAGGGTAGGTTTATCGTTTCTCTTCTTTCAACTATTATAAAAAAGTATCCGTAAAAAGAAAAATTAAAATTGTTATAAATAGTTGTAGGATAAGTCTTTACGATAAATTAATTAATAAAAGCGTTAGTTTTCGAGGGCGAAGGTAAGTATATATTATAATAAAGACTAATTCTTACCCCTTCTTTTTAAAAGGAAGAAAAGAGTCTTATTATTTAAGGAGAATAGCCTTTCGTAAACGTGACGTTAACGTGTGACTGGGGACTAACCACACCTCGTTTTATTATATAAGCCTAGTCACTTGATTCGTAACCTTCGGCCTCGAATCGATTATAACATTTTTCGAACTATACACGTCGCCCGTTATTTACTTCTTACTTTTACTTAGTTCCGTCTTCCCTAGGAAAGCCCTTTTTTTATACCACCGTGTACGGTACGTCGTCGGTGGATAAAAACGAAGAATACTCTCCCGGTGTATTGTACGGGACGTTAAAGTAAAGACGACGGGCCGACCGAAAGAAAAAAAAGAAACGATAAAAAGGAAGAATTAAAAAGAGAGAGACTTTAGTTAGAATCGAACGCCGGCCTTGTCTCTTTGTTCCCTTTTATAAAAAGTACGACACGGTATATAACTATTAGGTTATATATTAGGTCGTATACGGAAGAACTAGTTCGTATTATAAGAAATGTATACCGGTCTATTCTCGATTCTCGTTCGACGTCGCCGTGTCTATTATACGAACGGAACTCTTTTCCGTACGATCTAGTGTAACGTCTGACACCTAACACGTCCTTCTTATATTTAAACGTATCTTCCGTACGAATCAACCTAGTCCTTTTACTACCCTTACTTTTCTTTCCTACCATTTTAAATGTCCCTTATCCTTTTCTTTTACACCGTACGGTCTTTGTCTCGCTCGTTCTGTTAATATTGTTATCGTCCAATGTATTCTTATCGTTATCTTATCGTTATCTTATTACGATAACGGTGTCGTCGCCCACTCCACTTTTTAACCCTAACCTTTATAAATTACAATCCGTTGTTACTTAACAACAACTTATCGTACGACATCGTCAATTAACAGACAGTGTCGCGTCGCTATTCTCTTCATTTTCCCGTCGACTGCATCCTCGTACGACGTCTCGTCGTCGATTTATTTCTCATCCGATTTAATTAAATCAGATCAGAATGGACCCCCCGTTTTGTAGGGAACATTTAAATCCGACAGACCCCTGTCTCCTAACAAAAAAATTCTCATCCGGTTTGTCTTGTAGTGGTAGGTTTATTTTGTATGTTAGGTTTGGATACGTGGTTTTATGTTCGGCCCACCACACCTTGCCATGATTTCGACTACCCTGGAACCATTATCCATCTACTATGACGACCCTACTAGAAGCTTCTCAATAATCTCGGCTGCAGCCAAGCACTCACTGTCCATCCACTTCCGCGTCACGATCTGCAAGCCTACCGGCATATTTTGAGAATCCTGTGGGTTGTAGTGCTCGAAAAGATATACTTCTGTGTCGTTCCGTGGCTCGTAGACGCGCGCGGACAAGTCTTCACCATAGCCCCCCACCATGTCCGAGGCAGGAAATGCGAGGGCAGGGTAGTCTACTAAGTTCCATATAGCTGTATAGCCCCAGTAGCGCGACGTGTCGAGCGGCGGTGCTGTGCTGGTGGTCACGGGTGCAATCACAACGTCGACGTTGGCAGCGCTCCAATGCTCAGAGTACCGTGCACGGAAGGCATCGCGAGCGGCCCTGCGGTCTTGCGTGGTCGAGCCCAAGGCCGCTTCATTGGCGCGGCACTCGTCCATCATCCACTGGGTGAGTGGTCTAAGCCCTTCACCGCTTTCGGCACACAACTCACGAATCTTGGCGCCGCCGTCTTCCCAATAGTTGGCTGTAATGACCTTCCACGCAACGTCGTGGTCCAGTGGCTTGAATGGCACGACTTCCACCAGAGGACTGGTGCGTAGCTTAGTAACAACCTTTTCGAGGACCACCTGGACGGGAGGTAAGGGAGTAACGACGTCGTCTGTGTTCATAATGCCAATGCGCAGAGGTTGTCGTAGTGGCGTAGATGACTCTACGGAGACAGCATAGGGCAGGAGTGACGGATCGTCTATCCACGGCTTAGTTGCGGAATACGCGCCGTGAAATAGATTCAGGTCCCTTAGAGATCTTGTGAACGCACCCAGGGTGCCGTGGATTGAGTCGCAGCCGGGCGATGGCACCACAACACCAGACCCGCTGACACGCCCGACGCTCGGCTTAAAGCCCCATACGCCGTTGAGTGACGATGGTGCCCGGATCGAGCCGCCAATGTCGCCGCCAAATCCCAGCGGCGTAGCGTGCATGGACAGCAGCGCCGTCTCGCCACCGCTGCTGCCGCCGGCCGTGCGTGTGCGGTCGCGCGCGTGAACGGTGGCACCGTAAATGTTGTTGGACGTTTCCAGGTGCATAAACGACTGCGGCTGGGCAGTGCGGGAAAACACGATTGCGCCCATGGCCTTGAGGCTGGCGGTAAGGTGGGCATCGCGCTGCGTCTCGTTGTCAATCCAGGCAACAAACGCCGCGTGGGTGGCATGGCCGGACACGGCAATCTGCTCCTTCAGGGAGACGGGCAGGCCATGCAGTGGCCCCAGTGGCTTCCCAGTCTCGGCAATGTGCGCATCTGCTGCTTCGGCAGCAGTAATGGCTTCGGGCAAGAGCTCCGTCAGGCAGTTTGTCTTTCAGCTAATTAGGTTCCATGTCCAAACCGGGCTCACACAACGCATAAAACAGAAGGAAATGCCCTACCAGCTGATGTGCAATCGAAGCTCGCTTGCGAAACGCATGCAGCAGTGCCACGGCCGTAATCTTGCGCGTAGCCAGCAGGTCAACAAGTGCCGTGGCATCGTAGCGCTCCGTGACCTCAATCTCCCAGTCGGTCAAGAGGCCACATGTCCGCGGGACGTCAGTTACGTCTAACGTGTCCACTGCTGGGAGCTCCGGGAGGATGGAGTCCCGTGGCAGACTCTGCTCTAGGATGGACAGTGCATGCTTGATCCGCTGTTGGTAATGAGGTTTGATGTCAGCGGCGGTTGGAAGCATTGCGTGATGTGCTCGCAAACGTGTTACAGTGCCGGCTCCAATACAAGGTCCGTCTGCCAATGAGCACCTCCACGATATATAACCGTGCCCGGCAAAGATCTGACGTCGACTCGACTGTTGTTAGTATGGCGCTTATCATTAGCCAGATCGCTGGGTGCAGATAACGCGCGCGAGTGTTGCCTGTTACGGAATAGGCGTTTGGAGCCATCGCAGTGGAGCAGCTGCATGTCAACTATACTGCCCTCCGCAATGGTTCCCCGCTCCTTCTGTCTCGGCGCAAGAACCTCCCAACATAGAAGACCATGCGATAGCCATGTCTGGATTTGGTAACAGCTAAATCGAAGCACGGAAACCGCGACCACGACCACAAACTCCGCACATACTGTATACACAATGCCGCAAGTGGACGCCCAACCAGTACAGGTAGCAAAGGTTGCAAAACCAGGCCGTGCACCCCGTGCTGCGCCCTCCTGGAGCCGCACAGGCTGCGTGACATGTAAACGGAGGCGGAAGAAGTGCGACCAGGGCCGGCCAGGCTGCGTCAACTGCACCCGTCGCGGGAAGCCCTGCGAGGGCTATCAGCAGCCGTTTGTTGCGCAGGCCATTCGCGGCTGCCCTGTACCGCCGCCCAAGTCGTCCACAGATCGACCCAAGAAGAGGGCGTCACCGGTGGTCGTGGAGGCACCGGAATCGAGTGGCGGTTCTGAGCAGGAAATCGCCGAGTACTCCTTCTACCGAGCCCTGCTATCACCCGGTCACTCGCAATGGCAGTCTCTGCTCCTGTCGCCTCTCCCACTTTCGCGACTTGGCAGCCCTATTGCCGACTCACCAATGCGTGATGACCATGGAGACGAAAATGATCACCCCGATGGTGTTACAGCCCCCGGTTCGCCACATTCAAGTCAGACCGAACCCAGTCAAACTCCGGCTATCTGCGGCATGGCGTCACCAGAGAACTGTACCCGACTTCTGGGTTTAATGGAAGACGACGTCATTACGCATTATGAAATATCAACAATACCAGCGGCAGATGCATTGGGAATCAGTTCTGCTGTAGATGACGCACCCTGCGGCACTGCCGACACCGAAGTGTCCGCAGACGGAGAAATCTCTGACGATACTATCCGAGATGTTGTTACAGACAATGTCAGCAACAACACCGTCCCCGATGCTACAGTTAATGCTGCAGTTGACGCAGCCAAATATACGTCCGACGCAGCGCGCTACATAGCCGATATCAGCTCCGAGTGGTTACGTCAGGTAGATGGCACCAGTACTGGGTTGTCGCCGTCGTCCGAGCCGCACCTCCTTCCCACATTCCCCCAGTTTAGCGACCAGGATGTCTTCTACATTCAGTACCTCTACGACCAGGGTGCCCGCCAGCTGCTGAACATGGACGCTGGCCCACAGAATCCGTTACGATGCCTCTTTTTACCGCGTGCGTTGCAGTCAACCGGCGTCCTGCACGCGATGTGTGCTGTGTCAGCGTGCCACCGGGCCCGCCAGGCGGATCCGGACACACGCCTCACATTCTCCATGGCCGCGGCCCGATTTTACAGCAAGGCTACGGCGTGGCTGAGGACGTCGCTCGAAACATGCGTTACGCGGATGTGTGGCCGGCTTCTGCTGGACGACACGTCCTTGTTCACAGCCATATTGCTCTGCAAGTACGAGATCATCCACGGCAGCGTGCGGCACTGGAATGGGCACCTGCGCGGTCTAGAGAACATGTTCCAATCCTGTGGCGGCACGGATGCGATAGGCGTCGACTGTCGGCAATATATATCGAGTTTTATCCGCTACCACCGAACTGTGGGGAGCATCACGAATGCCAGCGTGTGGATGCAGACGGACGGCGCAGACGAGAGCGATGGCCCGGATGACGCCCTGGACGACGAGACCTCCCCGTCCTTCTTTATTGATCCGTACTCTGGATGTTCCTACTATCTTCTGTGCGCCTGCCGCTCCATCTCTGAACTAGCAGGGCAAGTGGAGAAACAGTCCATTACCAGCTTTTCTCAATTTTCTGCCCAGGTCAACACAATGTACGTCCCATCGACGCCGTTGTTGATCGAGAATGCATTTATCTGCAACAGAACGAATCATTGCCCTCTACTGACTTATTGCGTAGTGTCACTACGCTTGGATCGTCCAATATCCAGCTAGGAGAACAGCCATGTCCAGCTGGCGTCACCATGGCCCAGATCGGGCGGTTGCTGTTTGTCGCCCAGCGCATCCGCTATGCTGCCTTTGTATTTCTGCACGCCATGATTGAGTACGCAGAGAGCACCCTTATTGACGTTGAGCCAGCCGAGTGGCGCGCTCTCATCGACGGCCTCCCGTACGCCAAAGCCCGCGCCGTGGACGGCTGTCTGGACATGCTGGAAACGCTCCCTGTTGGCGCCCACTGCGAGTTTGCCGCGCTCACTCTGCCGCTGTTCATCGCCGGCTGTGAGACTGGCAACCCACGGCAGCGCTATTTTGTGCTCGACCGGCTGTTTCTGTTGGAGAAAAGCGTTGCTATTGGCAACATTACGCGGGCTCGTGATGCGCTGGTGATGATTTGGCAGCAGACAGATTCGACGGGGAAGACGGCCAGGCGCTTTTGGTGGAAGATCCTGCAAGAGATGGGATGGGAGCTAATCTTATCATGACTTGCTGCTTTTGCTTTGTGAAAATACCATGATATTGAGTGAACTACGTATGACCTCTCAAACGACTGTGTATCCTCCGTCAATGATAATGTTAGCCCCTGTCATAAAGCTTGACGCATCTGAGGCGCAGAAGACGTATGCCTGGACGCAGATCTGTCAGTGATTGTGTTCTGCACATACACGGCATTGTGTTCTGATACTCACCCCTTTCAGCTCGTGCGCCAGACCCATCCGCTTGGCCGGCGTAAGATCGATCCACGTCTTTTGCGTGTCGGCTGGAATCGAGTCCAGCATTTCGGTGGCAATGTAGCCAGGGCTGATGCAGTTGACCCGGCAGGTGCCGAGCCACTCAATGGACAAGCTTTTGGCCAGGTGAACCAGAGCGGCCTTGGAGGCGTTGTACACGGCCTGCTTGTCGGGCACGTTGACGATGCTGGCGCTCATGCTCGTCGTAAAGATGATGTTGCCATACTGGCCCGTGGCCTGCCACAGCTGCGTAGCCTTTCGTGCACACCACAGGCTGCCGTCAAAATTGACACGCATTGTCTGCGCCAGGCGCTCCGGCGTCGTTGTTTCCGCTGGGTAGTCATGGGCAACGCCGGCGTTGGCGACCATAATATCCAGCCTGCCAAAATCAGCGACGACCCGGTCGACCATAGCATCTACGGCAGTCGCATCGGAAATGTTGCACTGATAGGCCTTGCATCGGACACTGTGCGTGTAACTCAGCCATACCGCCGTAGTATCTGCATCCCTGGCTGTATTGTACACGATGGCTACGTCTGCGCCGGCCTCGGCGATCGCAACGGCCACTGCCAGGCCAATGCCACGCGAACCACCTGTCGGAGAAGACGGTGACCTTGTCAGCACTACAAGGAAATGGATTGATGATTCGACTGGAAATAGTCGCGTGGGTCTGCTTAGTTACCTGTGACGATGGCGACTCTGCCGGCAAGGCGGAACGATTCTAGAACATGTTGTTCGGATGGGGTTGGGAGCAGATCTGCCATTGCGGTGTGGCTAGCTGGATTCTCAGTACCGAGCAGCTTCTGGCTGATAGATTGGCAGGCGCAGTCAAGGCTGTTGTCCATGATAGCAGGGCAGATGGAATCGATAAATCCAGACCGCGCACGAGGATATAACCGTGAAGGGCTGGAGTATGGCGCCAGACGGGTATCTTGCCCAATCTGGCAAGAGTCACGCACAGTGCTAAGATACGACGTACACAGGTTTGGGCTACTGTAACTTCAATGCACCTTGCTCCATTGTTATCTGAACGACTACATACCGGGACACTGTCCCTTTCTACCCCGACTTGATCACTACCGCCTTTGGGGCCACGGCCTTGCCCTCAGGATACTGCAGGTGGATTCGCTCTTTGTGGTAGCTGCCTATCTGGATGGGGTTGAAGCGTGCCGGATTGTCCGCAGTGACGCACGACGGAAACGCCTCGATGACGGCCTCGTTGTCGGCCCCAAAGAAAAACGGCATCGACAGCCGTGTCTTTCCCTCGATGTTGTACGCCCGGTGGATGGTCGACTGCAGCAGGCCGTTGGTCCACATGCTCAGCGTGTCGCCGACGTTCACGACAAAGTGGCCCGGAATTGGGTTTGCGGGCAGCCATTTGCCCGTGTTGGACAGCACCTCGAGCGACTTGACCTCGTCCTGGCACAGGATCGTAAACACCTCGAGGTCGCTGTGGGCAAAGATGCCGGAGCCTTCCGGGTTCTGCGGCGCGGCGGCTTCGTAGTAGTTGAGCGCCAGCATGACGTTGGGGTGTTTGGTGAACTGATCAAAGTAGTCTTCATCTAGCTGCAGACCCAGGGCCAGGATCTTGAGCAGTCGCCGCGCAAGCACCATGATGGCGCCATAGTACTCGCGCATCAGGTCACGGAAACCGGGCATGGTGTCGTCGGGTGGGTAGAAGTTGTAGCTCGAGTCCCACGGCCCCGTTGCCTCGGGGTCCAGCTCGGCCTCGTAACCCCAATGGATGGTCTCGTACATGCGCCGTTTGATGGCCCCGTCAGGCATGGTGCCGGCCTTGGGAGCGTAGCCAAAGTACTCCGTCGGGTTGCGGCTCATGCTGAGTTCCATCTTTTGCTCGTGTGTCTGGTCCTGGAAGAAGCAGAGGCCGGCCTTTTGACACTTGGCGATGAGGTCCAGGTCGACGCCGTGGTTCTTGATGTAGAAAAAGCCAATTTGCGAGCAGGCCGTGTAAACCTCTGCGGCAACCTTGCGCCGAGCGGCAATGTCGTCCGAAAAGGCGCCGGCCAGGTCCACCACGGGAATTTGGGTGATGGGCGGGATGTCACCGGCAACGACCTTGCGGGCACCAATGCCCGTAGCAATGGCCTCGTCTTCGTTATCAGTAAACCCGGCAAACGGGTTGTACTTTGCGGCGGTAGCGGCCATTTTGGTAGATGCGGTCTAAGGTGTATACGTTGTCGTGTGGTTTTAGTGGGTTAGTGTAGATGAGACATCTTGACTTCTTTCACGACTGTCTGAAGTCCATATCGGGCCATGCAAAACGTGGATTTATACCCCGGTTCGTTCGTTTTACAACTGTTGCCTGTCCCCGCGTATCTCTTGTCGAAACTAGCCATAGACCAAGATAGCTCGACGTCCGCCATCGCGCGCGACTCTTACCAGACTCGGATTAGTTTGCATCGCAATGTGGGCAACGTAGTGGGCATTTTTTAGGCGGACAATGAAAGGTTCACATTACATATTTAGCCATGTCATCCCGACAACGGCTGTTCCACATTGAAGCGGCCGTCCTATGACATGACATGCCTAGTCCGTGTACCCGCTTGTTCTCTCCGTCAGTTTGTCATCCACCGATTGTCTCCCCGTCGCACCAGTTGTTTGATTTTATTGTCTTCTTCTGTTTTTTTTCCTCGTCTCGCGCCCATCCCCAGAATGGCAGAAGTACACGACACATTCGTTCCCGGCACCATCCACCTTGTCGATGTCGCCTGGGAGCTGAATCCCGATCATGGTCGGCGGCAGGAGCGGGACATTGTATTGCATCCCAAGCCGTCAAGTCATGCGGACGATCCGCTCAACTGGTCCTACCGCCGGAAACTGCTGTCGACGCTGTGCATGTTTGTGTATGCCAAAGACCGCACTATCATTCATTTCTTTATTTGTTGTCATTAAATACGTTAGAATAAATGCTTACAACACAGCTACGCCATGACAATCTGCATTTCTTCGGCGGCAATCTACTCTGTCCTGGAACCCATTTCAGAAGCGACCAATCTGTCGGTTGATGAGCTCAATGCGGGCACTGGTTACATGGTGAGAAACCGCTGCAAAGGCAACAAGCAAAAATTGACAATATAAAAGCAAGTACAATAGACGCTGACATCGTTGTAGTTTCTCTCGTTTGGCTGGGGATGTCTTGTTTGGCAACCTCTTGGTCTTGCCTACGGCAAACGACTGGCCTACCTATTGAGTGTTTTGTGCACTGTCGTACGTATAGTTCTCATGGCGCTGCAGACAACGCGAAGTAGCCTGACAAAAACAAACGCATCCTGTAGGCCGTCATGATTTGGGCCCCGTTTACCACCAACAAAGGGCAGTGGATTGCCAGCAAGACCCTCCAGGGCTTTTTTGGTGCTCCCGTCGAGGGTCTTTGCGAAATTTCCATGACCGACATTGTGCGTGGCTCTCCATTATTCTTTTTTATTCTCATCTGGGCCTAACTAACGAGCCAGTGGTTCACCCATGAGCGTGGAAAATATCTCACGATTTATGTACTCGCTCTTTACATTGCCAACAGCATTGCCCCATTAATTGCTGCCTTTATTGCCGCTGGACAGGGATGGAAATGGGTCTTAGTACGTCGTCCCTCTACGTAATGCATCCCTGCATCACGATGAATAATGCTCCACTAACAATACCAGTACTGGTGTGCCATCTACAATGCCGTGTCGTTCCTCTTCCTATTCTTCTTTATGGAAGAAACCAACTGGACGCGCGACCAGACCTCGACCGAGGACGTTCCCATTCACAATGAAAAGACCGTCGGTGACAATTTTGACGCTCCAGTATCAGCCGCTACAAACGTCGACAAGGACATTGCCGGTGCCGGTGCAAGTCACGGCGACGAGGTGCCCAAGCTCTTTGCTTCGCCTTCCCATGGCCAGGGCGCCATGTCTTACACCAAAAAGAGCTACTGGGCCAAGCTACGCCTTTTTGACCGTCACACCACCAAGGTTGTCACTACCATGAGCCTCTTCCGCCAAGTCACGCGGCCTCTTCTCTACATGCAGCTGCCAGTCGTGGTCTTCTGCGGCACGGGCGTTGGCTGCTACCAGATGTGGCTCAGCTTTCTAAACGGTACCGAATCGAGTATCATGAGTGGATCTTACGGTTTTTCGACCCTGATGCTCGGTGTGCCGTTTGTCTCGCCCATTATCTTTTCCTTTATTGGGTCTGTCCCCCGTTCATTCCCCATTCAACATCATCTTCGTCGGGCCCACCATGATCTCCGTCCCCGCTAATGCATATCGCAGCTATCTCTATGTCGGCGTATTTGGTGACCGGTTTATTGTACGCATGGCCCGCCGCAACAACGGCGTTTTTGAACCAGAGCACCGTCTCTGGTTGCTCCTGCCCCTCGTCGTCATTGCACCCGGCAGCCAGCTGCTCTGGGGCCTCGGCGCCTACTACAAGGTCCACTGGATCGGCCCTGTCATCGCCATGGGCTTCATCTCGTTTGCCACCGTCGTCGGCGCCCAGGTCTGCTACAGCTACTGCATCGACTCGTACCGGGCTCTCAGCGGCGAGGCCATTGTGACAGTCGTTCTGCTTCGCAACAACATGCTCTTTGGCATCAACTACGGCATCACACCCTGGATCACCAATATGGGTCTCCGTAACGCCTACACGCTGGCCGCCGTCGTTGCCTTTCTTCAAGTTCTCACTTTCCTTCTTATGACCACATATGGCAAACGTCTTCGTGCGCGGTCTGTAAAACTGTTCCGCAAGTACTGCGCCCAGCTTGAGGCCGACGGGTTGCTTCACTAAGCTTTGTGGTTCGACGTGCACAGGCGGTGGTTGAAGTCATATAGAAAACGTCCGATTCGTATGGGTCTTTCGGAGATATATGGAGTACTGCTGGAGATAGGGCGATAACTCGTCATACATTGATATCACATGAGCTGTAGTCTGTTACCCGTATTGAGTTGCGTTTCCTTCCAATCGACAATTTCGACAAATCATCGCTAAATGTCACTGTTGCTGAATAGTCTTATATCATTATTTTGTGAAAGAAATATCAATAAAACAAACACGTGGGTAAATTTTTGTGCACGTTTTAATTAATATGTTTATAAAAATATTAAGAACTAAATGAATATCCCTTAGCATCATAGTTCTCGTAAAAGGAGAACAAAGAGAAAAAAATGCCAAAAATTCGGCAAAGACAATTGTGCAAAGAATGGAGGATTATCACCAAGAAGCCCTGTCAACAACACGACGGAAATTTTGGACTGCTATGTAGAGGACATGCATTATCCTTGTACAACAAAGAGGTCAAATATCACACGTGACTGTCACAAATGCCAACACGGCGCGTATTGTTCCCAAATAGGAAGGAATCACGCAGTGGCACAGTATCCCCAGCGACCAAACAGCGCCAGCGCCACAGCTCAAACGAGCACTTCATCCGCATCGCGCCATTGTGTCCCATGGTCAAAAGACGTAGTGATGATAGTTTCTCATACTTCGGGCCAGGGCGTGATCTACAGCCGACGATAAATACAGTATCTTCAAGGCGCATCTCCAACGACCAAGTTGCTGGTTGTTTAACCTTCATCGCACCTTTCTTCCTGACGTAATGGCGATTTCGCAGCTCCTAGAGGACACGTCGACCACAATGGCCACTTCAAGACCGCATCCCTTTGACACCCTCACTCCTGGCGAGGTTCGGCTTGCCGTGGCCATCCTCGAAAAGGCCTTGCCCGGTGTCGCTCTCCGCTACAAGCGCATTGACGTCCTCGAGCCCATCAAGAACGATGTGACGGCATACCTTGACGCCGAGCGTGCCGGCCTTCCCCTTCCGATGAAACCAGCCCGTCTCCTGTTCTCCTACTTTCACCGGCGGGACAATGGCCGCTTCTGTAAGGCAGTGCTGGATGTCGACGCGCGGCGGCCAGTCTACATCAAAGAGCTGTCGAGCGACGTGCAGGGCCCAGCCGACGTGGATGAGCTGGTGGAGATGGAGGAGGCGTGCATGAAGCACCCGGCCGTCCTGGCTGAGATTGCCAAGATGCAGCTGCCTGCGGGGTACACGGTGTGCAACGACCCCTGGATTTACGGGACTGACAGCGACACCGAAACACGTCGCCTGGCACAGTGCTACATGTACATTGTTGCCGTCGACCATCCACAGACAAACCACTACTCTCTGCCGTGCACATTCTCGCCCGTCTTTGACCAGGTCACCAAAGAGCTCGTGCGCATGGACCATTTGCCGACGGGCGCGGACCACAGCACCCAGCCGACCAGACCGTGGAAACCTGTGGAGTGTGTGCAGTATGCGCAGGATCTGCTTGACCAGCCGCTGCGGACAGACCTGAAGCCGTACCTGGTTCGGCAGCCGCAAGGCCCGTCATTTACGGTGAACGGGCAGTCGGTCTACTGGCAGAAATGGCGATTCCACGCTGGATTTAACAACCGCGACGGACTCGTCCTATACAATGTCACCTACGATGGCCGACAGACCTTTTACCGGTTGTCCATGTGCGAGATGACTGTTCCATATGGCGGTACGTGAGACACACCCAACGTTTTGGCTCGTGTATGGCGCGCACCATGGAATACTGACAAAAAGTGGCAGATCCTCGCCGGCCGTACCACCGCAAGCAGGCGTTCGATGCCGGCGACGTCGGCTTCGGCATTACCGCCAATCAGCTCGAGCTCGGCTGTGACTGTCTCGGGCACATTCACTACTTTGACGGATACCGCACGGATGCCAAAGGTAACCCTGTGCTTCTCAAGAACGTGATTTGCATGCACGAACAGGACAACGGGCTGCAGTTCAAGCACACGAACTACCGCAACCAGGCTGCTACCGCCGTCCGCAAGCGTGAGCTAGTCTTGCAAATGATTTGCACTGTGTCCAACTACGAATATGTACTGGCGTGGATTTTTGACCAGGCCGGCAACATTGAGCATGAGGTCCGTGCTACAGGCATCCTGTCCACGATGCCCATTGACAACCTTGACGCGGCCAACCCAACCACTGTCCCCTGGGGCACCAACGTGGGCCCTGGTGTCATGGCCGCCTACCACCAGCACCTTTTCGCGCTGCGCATCGACCCGGCCATTGACGGCCACAGCAACACACTGTTTTACGAAGAGAGCGCGCCTTTGCCTGTCGACCCCGAAACAAACAATTTTGGCATGGGCTACCAGACACAGGCAACCGTTGTGCAGAAAGCTGGGTTTGCCGACCTGGATGTAACACGCAACCGCGTCTTCAAGATCCGCAACGACAGCCACATCAACCGAGTGTCGCGCAAGCCTGTCGCCTACAAGATCCATGCCGCCCCCAGCCAGATGCTCTTGATGGCCCCGGGCTCGTTTGCCCGCAAGCGCGCCGCCTTTGCCGAACACGCCATGTGGGTCACCAAGTACCAAGACGACGAGCTCTACGCCGCTGGCGAGTTTACCAACCAGAGCCGCCGGGACACGGGGCTGTCGGAATGGGCGGCGCGCCCGGACAATGTGGAGAATACAGACATTGTGGTGTGGCACACGTTTGGGCTGACACACAATCCGCGACCCGAGGATTTCCCTGTCATGCCAGCCGAGCACATATCGGTGCGTCTGCAGCCGGATGGTTTCTTCGAGAAAAACCCGGCATTGGATGTGCCCCAGAGCAACCAGGCTTTCAACCAGTCCACGCTGCACCAGGAGACTGCTGAGGCCACGTGCTGCAGCAGCGACAGGTCTTGGCTGTGACTTATACAGGAAGGGGTATGTAGATGTTAGAAACGTCGAATTAGAACAAATGTGAACTGATTAATTCAGCTATAAAGATCAATGTCTACTGAAAGTATTCATAAGGGCTAAACATCGTTGTATATTTATTAGAATAAGAGGTAATCAATTAAAGCCACCGTAATCATTCTACCGCTCGGGAAAGGCCGTTACAGTTCGCGGCATTTAAGTCTACTTCGATCCCCCGTGCTCTTAATCTTGCGGCCGCCTCCCTGTCCTTAGTGGTATAACTTGTACACTCTGCCAAAAAACCACCCTACTAATATATGACAATTGAACCCTACCTTGAAACGGCCGTCAACCCTGTTATCAATGCTGCGACAATTCTGCCAGAATTGTTTAACAAAACCAACAACCTTACAGGGGCAAGCACGCAAAATTAGATCATACAATATTAGACGATTTAGGACCGTTGATTAACCTCAGCGACATTCTATCGACGTTTCTTCTCCAATGTGCGGTATTGGGCCAATCATAATGTAGTATTTTTTAGGGCATTGGAACAGTAACGTTTGGGTGTTACGATTACGGCCCCGCGGGCCCAGAGAAGGGACCCAAGGCGGTCAGGACCGGTAGAACGTGGCCAGTACGGGAAACTGTAGCTGGAAAAGAGAGGCTTAAACAAGTAAGGTCAAGGCCTTCCACAACCACGTGCAAAAGCGTAAGGAAGAGAATACTACGAGTAAAAAGCTCTTAGTAACTAAACAGGGTTATTTTATACGAGGAGGAAATAAAAGCACTTTCCTCGTTAGTGCCGTAATCGTAACACTAACCGTGCCCGTACGTAATAGAAATGTCGATAAGAAACGCCATCGTAAATCTTTACTCTTAAAAGACGGAATACATCCATAAATATCTAATACCCTTTTTAGTAGTCGTTTTGTTTACGGACAAATACTTTTCTCGAGCTGTCTACTACCTCGATTCTCCAAAAGTCATGCTGAACATCTTCTGGATAAGATTTGTTTTTCTCCACCATATTTGACAGCCATTACCCCTTTCCTTGTTCTTTACCTTAAATTTGAGATCTCCATGTAATTTCTTTACAAAAACGACTTCAAGGCGCATGGAAACCCAAACTTCGGCAAGGCCACGTCGAAAGCCAAGCCGTGTCACGCAAGCTTGCGACTTCTGTCACCGGCGCGGCCTGAGGTGCGCTCCTATTCCTCCACGACCCCTGCCAGTCGATGTCGATGTCTCTGGGCAGATGGCAGGATGCTTAACTTGCATCGAGTATGGGCAGATGTGCACCCGCCTACGAAAGCCAAAAAAGCGCGGGACGAAGGCCCGACCGAAATTCATAGAAGCAGACACGGTGCTCGGTGGCGGGTCACCGTCGCCGTCCTCTACGCCCAGCGCGGTCGGCCCCGATGGGCAGTACACGAGCAGCAAAATCAAAAATATTACTACATTGATAGACATATATCTAGACTCCATCTATCCCTTGTCAGTTTATGTTCCCATGCTTCCCAGCCAACCCCGGCCGATCCCCGAATTTCCGAGACTTCTGCTGACTCGACTCCCGGGACAGATTTCCATTCTTCTGCGAGACAGAGCTGGTGCAGTGGTGGAAAAAAAGCAGCAGCTCCCTGCCGCAGCTTCAAGACCTTTATTATATCAGCATTATCTGCATGTGTGCGCTGAGTGCCTCACAGGCCAACAAGGGAGCGCTGTTCACTAACGACACCAACGGCACCAACGAACCCAGATCTGCTCCCATCACGTCCTCTGTCGCAAGCGAGTTTCTCGATGAGGCGATACAACTTACCCCGCTGACTTATCAATACCATGGCGGGGGAAGCGAGGGTGGAATTAGCCTTCTGCGCTGTTACGGCATTCTGTCTCTCATCGGAACGCAGACCGGCGATGCCCAGCTTCTCCACCGGTACCTCGGTCTGTACCACGGTCTCTCGGCACAGATCGGACTACACAACGAAGAGAGATGGCCCGCAGCAATGCCCGGAACAGCGTCCGTGGCGGCACTCTCGCTCTGCGAACGAGAGACCCGGAGACGGATTTTCTGGGTCGTCTACCGCATCGAGGTGCACAACGCCTGTGTCCTCGGCCACCCGATCCGGACACCTGAGTCGCAAACATACGTCCAATACCCCTGTGGCGTCCACCACCCCCTCACATTCCTCTTCCCCAACCGGAATGGCAAGTTTGAAAACTGGATGGCTGGGTGGAACTACACGACAGAGCTCTACCGGATCCTCGAGCACGCCATTGTCGATTTCCGGAGTAAGCGAACGATGCACACGACCGTTCTCTGGAGGACCGAGCAGACTACGTCTTCTAGGTCCGGGTCCGGGTCCGAGTCCAGGTCGACGGCGATTCTCCAGCAACTACAAAAGATGCAGTCGAATTTGTTGCCGCAGTTTGCCCAGGCGGCCATGAAATCATCCGACAGCGGCAGTAACCGGAGCGGGTTTCAAGTCGCAAATATTCTGTGTACAATCCATGTGAGTCCCAGCAAGAGGGTGGCGCCGTGCTGCAGACGTGCCTTGCCTTTTTTAGCAATGACTAATATGAACACACGAATCTCATAGTTAGTCAAGATGGTCGTCTTGGCTTCCGAGAATGGCCGCTTTGTCGAGGTTTGCCAAAATGTCCAGGACCTCGTCGACAGCATGGGGACCGTCCCACGAGACTACATTCGAGCGTTTGGCACACCTGTTGTTAGTATCTTCCTGTTAATTTTGGATGAAAAGAGACTCCGTACATTGTCTGCTAACGGTCACTCCACAGATGCAGGAACTTCTCGGTGTCGGTTTTATGCTTACGAGCATGGCAAGTCGAGACCACAGCCTGTCCGACGAGGATCATTTTCGGTTAAAGGCCGTCATGTAAGCGTGTAAGCCTGCATGAGAGAGAATAACATGAAAATTATTCTGACATGTATGAAAACTAGTCACTTTCTATCCGAGTTCATCGAAGAATTAGCTGACTGCATCGAGTCGGCGCGACACGCTGCCTGCTGCCTCCGGGAAAGCCTCTCTCGCGTCGATCAAGCCGTATCATCACGGAGAGTCGAAAATGACAGCCCGCTGGCGAGAAATTCTCTCTCCTCGGAGCAGCCAGCAGTGGATGTTCTGAGTACAGCAGCGTATTTTAAAATCCTCCCACTGCCATCGTCAGCATCGTCGGATACGTCTCCGATACCAAAGAGTTAAATACATATTGCAATGCGTACGATACCGGTCGTATTTAAAGGTTTAGTATGGACAAGAAGCGTGAGCAGTAATAAGCAGATATGTATATATTTAAAGAATGACTACCGTGATTCATTACCAACAGAATAAATAAAAATAATCTTGTTAAAAGGACACACGATTGCCTCGGGTGTGCTCACAGAAACCAACGGAATTCGGGCACACTGGGGCCGTCTTTAAGGAGCTCCGTGGGTGTCTCCTGGATGTCGAGCTTCCGCCCCAGCTTGCGATCGCGCCTCTTGTTGTCCAGCAGCATGTACAGAAACAAGACGCTGGTCAACACAGCCCCTGTAGCACCAAAGGCCGCCGAGGTCGCCAGTGCAGGGATGTACTTAGGCTTAGAGTTAGCTGTGAAGATGTTGCTCGACACGACGCCCATAAGGTTCGCCAGCGGTACACCGACGCCAGTGAGCGCCATACGGCGGCCCTCATCGGGCGTATTGTTGTTATACCACGCGCACAGGAGGATCGAGGGCGCACCCGATCCCCAGCACATGAGAAACGTTGCAAAGTAAGCAACGTGGAGGTTGTCGAGCACGTCGATGCTCGCATAAATGATGAAGCCTACGAGCGTGAAGACGAATCCGATCAGGATAAAAGGCGCGCGCAGACGCGTGAAATCCGAGCTGAAGCACAGGAGAATGAGGACGACAGCGCCGCAGATGTTGGGCGCCACGGTGTACAAGTTGGTCTTGACGGCAGAGTAGCCGAGGCGGGCGACGATCTGGGGCAGAAAGAGGGCCACGGACTGCAGAGGTACGCCGAGGCAGATCTCAATGGCCAAAAAGGCGTAGGTCACTGGCTGGCGAAAAATCTGGAGGGCATCGCGCAGGACAAATGTCTGGTTGACGACCGCGGACGAGTCGACGCGGATTCGGTATTCGGACAGCGTCCGCTCCGCCTCGGAGAGGAAGTGCGCTGAGGCCGGGTTCAGCGGCAGGTAAAAGTAAGTGAAGACGGAAAACACAATGGTGACGCAGCCCTCAATGAGGAAGAGGTAGCGCCAGGGCTGCAGCGGCGTGTTCGTGATATGGAACACGCCATAGGCGAGGAGACCCGAGAATGCATTGGCGATGTTGCTCGAGGCATAGAACAGCGACATGCGGCGCGCTAGCTCGCCGCGGCGGTAAAAGGTCGTGAGATAGTACACAATCAATGGGAGAAAAGCGGACTCGGCCATGCCGAGGAACCACCGGAGGGCCACCATGCCGGCAAAGCTCTGGTTGGCAACTAAAACACGAAGTACGTCAGATGAAAGACCCAGAAGAGATAGGCAGAGTAGACAATACAGAGAAAAGAAGACGACTATCTCACCCATAAGAATCGTCATCAACCCAAAGACAAGCATCATCGCAGGCAACACGCGAGATGGGCCAAACTTCTTCCCGGCGACGCTCTAGTTCCGGGGGACGTCTGTTAACAATTTACTCGTTGAACATTGGCTGTTCGTTAACTATTCGCTTACCAAAAAGGGCGCTGTGAGAACAAATGGAATATAGAAAATGCCGAGCGAAATATTGTACTCGTTCCCCTTGAGGTTCAGGTCGACTGCCATTCCCGCGGTCGCAGCGTTGCTGAGATTTCCCTTGTCCAAGCCGTTGAAGAGAAACATAATAGCCAGAACTGGAAGCAGCCGGATATCCAGTTTGCGACATAGGGCCCGTTCCGCCTTGTGGTCGAGGACGAAGCCGGTCATAGCAGCCGTGCCGCCGTCGGGAGAGTCGATGTCGCTGTGGCCCTCATTGTTGTCGTAAGCGGTGGTTTTCGCCTCGTCACCGTTACCGTACTTTGTGTCCTGGCAAGGAATGGTGTCTGAGAACGCCATTCTCGTGGCGAAGGACATTGCGGGGCCTTTGTATTGTATCTCTCGTGCTTGGATTTTCAGTTGGTGTTTCTCTGTATCTGGTCTTGGCGATGCTCTCGGTGACTTTCTTCTCCAGATCAGAGCGCCATAGCCGCGCTCTTATACGTGCAAGTAACAGCCATGTCAAATTTGGTGTCGTCGTTCGCTGTTCGACCGTCGACTAGTATGCGAGCTGGTTATTCTACCCAATTGTTTGTGCTTTTGATTAACTCGTGAGTGGTACGGAGTACTGGAGAAAACACGTTATTCGGTTGTCGGGCTGCTAAACTGTTAAACGGTTAAATGTTGAACTGTTGAACTGATAAACTAATAAACTGCCCTTCCACGCAAAGCGCACTCGCCAACGTCCTGTTACGGTATTAGCTTATCGGCCGGCAGTGATAACTAGGCTTTATCTCTCGGTCTTATCTTTCGGCGGTGCGGGGAAGCGCAGTCGGTATCAGTCTAAATCGTATACGAGGTAGTCCTTTACCGTGTAATACTTCGTACTAGTTCTGATAATGTTCGAGAACTTCCAGGATATTACTTAAATGGCAATAAACAGCATCTATAGACACTGTCAAAGCACATCATGCCGTCATTGATTTGAGCATGAGAAAGAAAACATGCATTCTATGGTTTCTATGCCTATCTATCTTCTGTCTCCTATCATCCATCATCAACACGCTAAATAATCCGGCTCCTTCACGCCTTTCTGCGACGTTATGCGTGTGTAGTCAGCAACCTGTCTGTGCCTGTCAAAATTAAACATCTAATGATGAAAGTTAGTTACGGGCTGAAATTAATCATGGCCTGGGAGAGGAGGCTCACCATAGATTTCCCCGGAAGACAGTCGTCTAGGTCAAGCTCGGCAAAGATGACTTCATCGCCCTTGGTTTTGGCTTCGGCCAGCACATAGCCGTCGGGGGACACAATCATGCTGCCCCGGATCAATCCGTATTTGCCGTCTTCGACCCCTGATTTCGCAGCGGAGATGGAAAAGCAGCTGTTCATGTACGAGTTGGCCGTCATCACGAGTCTGTGCTGGAACATTGACTCCTCCTCCGACTCCTCGTATGTCTGCTGAATTTCGGCCTTGCCGCAGAGGTCCGGTGCCCACGCTGTTGTGTTGTATCCGCAGAGAATGACTTCCGCCCCTTGAAGGCCGTAGCATCGCCAGCTCTCGGCCCAGCGCCGGTCGTTGCAGATCATCATGCCCATGATGGGGTCTCCTCTGTTGTCGTCTCTGTCATTGCCGTTGTTGTTGATGCCATCACTGTCGACGGATAGTTTCGCGGCGTTGAGAACTAGACCGGGCGCGCGAAATGCCGTGAAGCCCAGGTCGCCTGGAGAGAACCAAAGCTTCTCCAGCTGGTTGATAGCACCAGCGTCTTCAAAAGGTTGTAGCGTACCCGGGAGATGGATCTTGCGGTACTTGGCAAGGATGTCTCTCCTCTTAGCAGAGTAGTAGACGCACGAGTTGTGTTGACGCCGTTGCCCTCCTTCAGAGCTTTTCTCGGCAAACCCAAGACAGACATCCAGTCCCAGGATAGCCGCCTCGTCAAAAATCGGCCGCGTTCTTGTCGATGTAAGCAAGGTGCTGCCATCTTCAAAGTACTGGTCAGATTGAGGGACGTCCTCCAGCCTGTAGCGCGGAAAGAATGTTGTCAGGGCGGTCTCTGGAAACACGACTAGCTGGGCGCCCTTCTGGCCGGCGGCCCGGAGCAGCTTGATGATGCGGTCGAGAATGTCCTCACGTGGTGTATCAAGGTGGTTTGGACCCAGCTGGGCCGCAGCTACCCTGAGAATCCGAGCCATTGGGAGTGAAGAGGTCACCGGTAAAATGCTATGCAGTGTAGCATAGCATAGCAATGACAGCGAATAGGTACGAACCAGGCAGCGTCCGGCTTTATGTATTATATAAAATAGATGCAACTTGGCTTGCCGGCCAATTGGCCAAGCAAACTTGGCGATAAGGATACGCGCTTGATGCAAGACGCAGCGGAGCTGAAACGTGTGAATTGATAAGCTGCTGAACTGCTGAACTGCTGAACTGCTGAACTGCAAATTACCCTCCATAATAATTCTTATCTATAATACAGTTGCTCCTTTTGGCACGAAATCATTACATTTTTTGTGGAGCCACTGTTAACTTTTGTGTATGGGAAACGCGCACGAATGTATGTATCTGTAACGATGATGGCCCCACAAGGCCAGAAAGGTGGCCACCGTGCAAAGTAGCAAGAAGGGAATCCAAGGTGGTTTGTATCCAGATAATCCACAAGTCACAAAGAAACTTCAGTGCACTTCAGTGCACTGAAGTCCGTTAAGGCCCACTGAAGTAAAATCAAGTCGAGTGGAGTACTAGGTACATGAATCGCGTGTAATGGTAGTCTCGCAATAAACACACGTGTGTGATAAAGTTGGTTGATTCTTTTAACCATAAGAGGGAATTACAAGTAAGTGAAAAGGTCCTTATAAACCGTTGTGTTGCTTTGGGGTTCCGCTATAAATTTTAAAGTATGAAGTATAAATAACAACACTACGTCAAGTACTATTTAGAGAGCGTGATTCCTTAATTATATAGCGTGTTGGAGAATTTATTTACATGTATTTATCAATATAAACTTATTATTCTTTGCAGACCATGTACGTAGCAAAATATTTATATCCTATTAGGTACGATCATGCAGTGTCCCGTTCGCAAGACCTCACACGATCTCTTCTTTTGGCGAATGCATGTCTACATCACAAAATCAAAAGTTTGCTTGGGTGTCTTTGAAAATCGTTTGTATAATTCCTTGCTGCCTTCTAGTACCTTTCCTCCTTAAGCGAGTATTTATACGTACGGCATGAGTCCTATGCGTTAAGAGATACCTGTTGAAATGCGTTATTTGCACGAATGTGCAGGTCTAGGCAGATAGGATACATGTGCCGTGCCTCTTGGGACCTCGAGCATGTCAAGTTGTTGGCGGCGAGCATACTGAGGAGTTGTATCGCATGCTCCACAGCTACGCAGCTCGACAGTGCGTATGTTCCTCCTGGGTTACGGATCACGTTTTCGAGAACAACGGTGACGGCAGAAAACAGTGGTCGGAGAAGAGCCCTATACCAGGTGTAGTCTGTTAGACGGTTATGAATTTAACAAACCAGGCCAGGAGTATATGTTGCTTACCAGGTGACAAAAAAATCGCCCCGAGGTACGTTCCGTATAAGGGGCAGAGCTTCACGTGCCTCGGAAACACAGCTGCTCTCTTGTAGATTTTGTGGCATTGCGACATACGGGTCGACCATTGCGAGACAGTTGACGTACGTAAAGCGCAAGATCAGCTTGTGAAGATGCCCTGTGGTACATAAATCACCCGTCAATCCGACCTCGTCCATCACCATAGCACCGCTGCTTTTCCAGAAGTGCAGGAGCAAGTTGAGCTCGTCTGCTACAGCGGCGCGATCGGCCACGGACTGGCGCGAAGCTTGCACCGAGTACAGCTTCTTGTAAATCTGGCCCTGGATCACAGCCAACCCGATGCGCGCATGGAAAATTCCGTGAGCAACATTGGACACGCCTTTTAAAGCGGGGGGCAGAGCAGGATCCATGTCATCATCATCCTGGGCAAATGGTTGACCCGTGCGGAGGCTAATGTCTTTGTCGATGCAGAATGCAATCCAAAACACACGCCGACGCTGTGCCTTCTCTTCCTCAGAGAGCGTGCTGTTGGCCATATCATCGCGGCACGTCCTGCGATGGAAGCCCATACCCTGCGCCATGCGCAAAGCTGCAGTGACGAGCACCGAGGCAGAGTGTGGGTTCGGCGTGCCCTGCAGCACGGCAGCCATACCTACGAGCGCCTGGACGGCGGGGAAGCTATCGTGAAGCAAAAGGAGCTCGGATAGGACGGCGAGCGCATTGTGGATGTGCCCGCATGCGCCTTGGCTCTCTTTGAAAAGGTCGCCGGAAGTGCGTACGGCGCGCATGGCCCGTAGGCGATATGCTAGAGAAAGTACCGTGTTGATGCATGCCCACCAGGCCGGGTCAGTGGAACTTGAGGAGTGTGCGTAGTTGGCTCGGAATTGCAGTAGAAAGTCGCTCTTATCGAAAAGAGGATAGAAATCGTAGAAGCCGGAAAATGCCTCCTCGACGAGCTCGATAGCGACATTATGGGGCGGCAATGGGTGAAACGAAGGGAGTGAGAACGGGCCCAGGGCCATCATGCCCTTCCAGGTTAGTATCTGTGGAGGAGGCGACAGCTGCGCCAGATTTTCTTCCATCATGGCCAATGGATGTTGGACAGGATTTGTAGAGCTGGGAGTTGATGATTTCGACTCGCTGCGGCTTGGCTCTGTGCCAAGTTTCCCGACGGCATCTTGCAGAAGGCCCTCAGTCCTCCTAAGACGCTCCTCGAGGATGGCAATCTGCTTGTGTCTAGAAAACCCGCATTAGCAAATGTCCATCATAGCGAACGTAGATAAACAAAAGGCAGCAGGAGAGGAGGAGGAGCAAGAGATGAGACTTACCCGGGAGGGCGCCGCGCCTTTTTCTTCGTGGCAATTGGTGTAAAGTGGCAGTCGGCCACATTGGCCCGCGTGCACTGCGCACAACCACCATCCGGGGTGCGCTGGCAACGTATCTTCTTTTTCCTGCACAAGTCGCACGCCTGTTTATCGCATGAAATGTTAGCCAAAGCACGAACCATCTGTGACGACGTTCACGTGACGGTGTTTTCTTGGCAGCTAACCTTTGTGATGGCCGGAGTCTGGTGCTGTGCGTCTGCCATTGCTCTGTGACAAAGTCAACAGGACGGAATATTAGCTTGGAAAGGTCCGATCCGAAAGAGTAACGGCGGCTTGAGCCGTATATGATGCAGTATGCGGCGTTGGTGTGCGACCTGTAGCGTGCGGTAAAGGGTTGTTTTGATTGAAAAATGTGCTGATCAATGCAGTTCTGAGTTGATTTTCCGAATTAACCTTCCTCTTCTGACGCGGTTGCTTCTCGAACGGTGCATCGTAAGTAGGATACCTCTCGTTGGGCAAAGGAACAAGTGATGCTCGTAACTCCGGGAAGTGACGCGGGCTTTTACAAGTCGCCCGGTTCATTTAGCACCCGGACTTTCTGAAAGGTCCGGATTTGTAGATTTGTCACCAGCTTCCAAGCAGCCCCACTTATTTTGACTTCGGTCCATAGTCCTCCTCCGGCCTCAAGCTCCTTTGTTGTCTCTCCGGAGGTAAAAACTCCACCAAAATACTGCAAAGAACCAAATGACAAATTCACGCGTCGCGTCCGAGGTGTGTTAAACACGGACATTTTCACTCCGGCATGACAAGATGAACTATTCGATGTACGGTCCGCAGACGGCCACAGTACATTAGAGGCAAGCCCGGGCCGGCTTGCTTTACTATGTGTTTTCTCACTTCTTCATACATTTCTTTCTTTTAATCATTCACTCGTTCCAATCACCAATGTGTAAATTAGTACCATGACCATGGATACTAGTAGCATGACCATGGATAACGATTCCTCAACTCCGCCCTCAGAGGACGTGAAGACAGCTTTCTCGACTTTGCCAGCAGGAGACAAGACCGCTTCCACAGTGTCTCCTCCGCACTCCAATGCTTCGTCCCGACATGCCGAATTGCAGAGTCAAGTAAACGGTCCGTTATCTACGAATGTGTGCTAATATTTGATGCTGAAATATCACTCCTAACCAATCTATTTTAGACGTGGAAGCGACAGCTACCATGCCTTCAAACGACCCGGGAAAATTTCCAGCAGATGCTTTTTCAGTGCCGCGCCAGATCCTTTTCGTCGGAACCATATGCACGGCCATGTTCACCAATCAATGCGGAATGGGAAACACGATAGCAATTGTCAGCGTCATAGGCGAGACCTTTGGCATCTCCTCCAAAGATTCAGGACATTTGTCGTGGCTTGTGGCCGGCTACAGTCTGACAATCGGCACCTTTATTCTCGTCGGAGGTCGACTCGGCGATGAGATTGGCCACAAGCGGCTGTTTGTCGCCGGCATGTTTTGGTATGCGCTGTGGAGCTTGGTGGCTGGTCTTTCTGTTTATGCGGCGAATGACAGTGGGTACATTCTTTTTGTCTGTTCCCGTGTCTTCCAAGGCATGGGTCCTGCGTTGACGCTGCCCAATGGTCTGGCCATTCTGGGCCGCTCCTACTCGCCCGGCCCGCACAAGAACATGGCATTTGCATGGTTTGGGGCGTCCGCTCCCTTTGGTGCCGTTGCTGGGTTCGTCTTCGGCGGTCTTTTTGCTTCCGTGTCTTGGTGGCCATGGACGTACTGGAGCCAAAGTATTGCCCTCGTCTGCGTGGCTGGTTTCGCTGCATGGGCCATCCCACACGTTTCACAGGACGAGGCCGGGCGGGAAAGGAAGCCATGGACAGTACGCAAATTGGTGGCTACTTTCGACGTTTTTGGAATGGTCACTGGCGTTGCGGCTCTCGTACTCGTCAACTTTGCCTGGAACCAGGCCGTCGTCGTTGGCTGGCAGCAGGCGTACGTGTATGTCTGTCTTATCCTCGGCTTCCTGTCCGGTGCCGCATTCTTTTATATTGAACTGTCTTCCTGGAACTCTGCGCCTATCTTGCCCCTTTCGGCTTTCAACACAGATATTGCCTTCGTGTTTGCGTGCACCGCAACCGGTTGGGGGTCTTTTGGTGTTTGGGTGTGTACTCCCCTGCCTTTCTCTCTCCACATCGCACACGCTCATACATACTAACCTAGCAGCTGTTTTATGTCATCCAGGTCGCCATCGATATCGGGGGCACCACGCCACTGCAGATCGCCGCGTGGATTATTCCAATCATACCCGTAGGTCTCACTTCGGCCCTCGCTGTAGGAAAGCTGCTCGGCCGCGTACACGCGTCAAACATTATGCTCGTGGGCCAGACTGTCTACGTAATTGGAACTGCCTTAGGCGCAGCCCGCCCACCGCACTCCATCTACTGGACCTACTTTTTCTTCTCGGTCTTTGCCATGACCATCGGCCTCGACACATCGTTTCCTTCGGCCACGGTCATCTTTTCTGACGCAGTGCCACGAGAGTACCAAGGTATGGGTGCGAGTATTATTGTCACCGTTATCAACTACAGTATTTCACTCTGTCTTGGATTTGCCGGTACTATCGAATCGAACATCAACAATGGTGGTCTTACAGATATTGACAAACTCCACGGCTACCGTGGCGCTCTTTGGTTCGCTGTCGGTCTTTCTAGTCTGGGCTTTGCGTTGAGTGTTATATACACTGTTATACAACCCGGTAAAACTCGCCGACTCGTCACCAACCCCGACCTTACCTTAGGGACATCAAGTCATACAAACGGCAATAAATAGAACGTGACAAGAGCAAGGACAAATGAAACATAGCTATTTGAGGTACACCACACAAATTCACCTATTTTGTGGTTCTTTTGTAAAATCTATTACGGTCATTCTATTGTCAGCCTGATCCTTTCCCGCTCATATGGGAAAAGGGTTATGTTTGAAAATTCTCTGCGACTTTATCGGACAACCGCTTCCCAGTCCTCCGCAAAATCCTTTGTAAGTTCCAATGAGAGTATGACAAGGCGGTCCGGAGGTGTTCATTGTCAGCAGCAATTCACACGAGTAAATAACCCGGTGGTTGTTGTCGTACTGAACGCTCGGGCTAATCATCTCCAGAAGGTCCACACCACACGGGCATTCCACGAACCGTCGCACAATTTTCAACGTCATCTGGAGTTCATTGACTGGCAATTGCGTACACTTGGTTCGCGCAATCTTCGATGCGATATTCTCCAATTATTTTCATCTCCCAACCACTCTGATCATGCTCCCTTCTACGTTGGCTGCCACCCCTACTAGCTTCGCCTTAATGTTGGTCTGACATTTTTCTCCAGTCTTGGTCGGTGTCTGCCACCGCCTTGTCATGGGTAGCTCCTTCTTCTTCTAGCTTTACCTGCCTTCCATAGACTTCCACATAGATATTCCCAAAAATATAAATAACCTACGCCTCTTCACTTCTCCGCTCTCCATATTCACCCCTCTCCTTTTCACTTATCTTCCAGTCATATACAAAATTTTCTCTCCATTATTAAAAGTTAGGTCCGGGGTGGCAAGCTTCGTGACAGAGGAAAGGTCCAACCAAAGGAAGCAACACGGTCGCAGCGTGGCTCGTCTCTGCACAAAACGGGAGGCACATCAGGAAACAAATGTCGCTGGGCTCAGTATGAATTATGGGATATACAAGCCTACCCAGGGATACTAGGTGCTGCCAGCCTTCATTTCCCGACTTGCCCTTTTTTGTAGGGAAGTTCCTGTCCTATTTGCCATCACGACGGCACCAATCCACCCAGCGTTGTTTTGGCTATCTCCATACCCCCATATACTGGACTTGTCGTAAATTATGCCGTTTCCCTTAACTCGACTCTCAAATAACGAACGGCTCATTTTACCTTGTCCTGCAGGAAATAAGCCACCGGAGTTACGTCGGATTCCAGGATGGTCGGCGACATGCGCGTTAACGGCAATATCTATAAAGTAAGTCTGACTTGCTGTTATGCGGTGCATAGCGGCAAAGATCGTCTTGCCAGGTGAAGGAGCCAAATATGACATCTGTATTATTAAACGTAATACTAAAACAGAATGAAAATAGTAGTTGCTACTTTACTTCCTCCTTCACATGTCGCGTCGGGCTAATCCTCTATCTTTAAGCACCAATACAAACATAGTAGCCTACATCAATGTTGGTGCACTCAGCATTCACACCCGTATTCCACTTGGCAAATTGTGCCGCCGTGATGCCGGCCGACTTCTCAATGGCGACGCAAGTATCACCAGAGACAACCTTGTGGAATGTTTTGCACGTGGAGATGGTGCCGGGTTGCAGCGGCGAGGGCGTGGTTGGCGTCGACACGGCAGGGCCACCACCGATACACAAGTAATAACCGATGTCGATGTTGGAGCACGTGCTGTCAACACCGCTGTTCCAGGCGGCAAACTCTGCGGCCGAAATGCCCGCTGACTTCTCAATGGCGGCGCAAGTGTCACCGGAGACGACTTTGTGGTAGGTCTTGCATGTCGATAAGGTGCCGGGCTGGAGCGGGGACGGAGCACCGGTTGTAGAGCCCGTACCGCCGCCACCGGCAATACAGAGGTAGTAGCCAACATCGATGTTAGAGCAGGTGGAATCGACACCCGAGTTCCACGCGGCAAACTGCGCAGCCGTGATGCCTGCGGCAGTCTCAATGGCGCTGCATGTATCGCCCGAGACGACCTTGTGGTAAGACGTACAATTGGCCAGGGTGCCGGGCTGCAGCGGGGACGGAGCACCCGAGGACGGGCCAGTGTCACCGCCGCCTGCAATACAGAGATAGTAGCCGACGTCGATGTTAGAGCACGTGCTGTCAACACCCGAGTTCCACGCGGCGAACTGCGCAGCTGTGATGCCTGCGGCCGTCTCGATCGCACCACACGTATCACCGGAGACGACCTTGTGGTAGGACGTACAGTTGTCGAGAGTACCAGGCTGGAGCGGGGATGGAGCGCCCGAGGACGGACCAGTGTCACCACCACCGGCAATACAGAGATAGTAGCCGACGTCGATGTTAGAGCATGTGCTGTCAACACCGCTGTTCCAGGCAGCAAACTGTGCAGCTGTGATGCCCGCCGCAGTCTCGATCGCACCGCACGTATCGCCGGAGACGACCTTGTGGTAGGACGTACAGTTGTCGAGAGTACCAGGCTGGAGCGGGGATGGAGCGCCCGAGGACGGACCAGTGTCACCACCACCGGCAATACAAAGATAGTAGCCAACATCGATGTTGGAACAGCTGCTATCAACACCGCTGTTCCAGAACGCGAACTGCGCAGCGGTGATATCGGCGGCCGCCTCGATGGCAGAGCAGGTGTCACCGGATACAATCTTGTGGTAAGACGTGCAGTTCGAAAAAGTACCAGGCTGCAGTGGCGAGGGAACGCCCGACGGAACACTCGACGAGGGAGAAGCACTCGCGGACTTGGACGTCGAGCTGGGCGCAACGCTCACGATCGAGGATGTCGCCCCCGGAACGCCGACACAAACGGCGCGGCCGACGAGCAGGCCCCGGCAGTCGGTGCCGACCGACGGGTTCCAAGACGCGAACTGGTCGGCGCTGATGCCGTATGCGGCCTCAATGTTAGGGCACGTGTCACCTTTGACGACCTTGTGGTAGTTACTGCAGTTCGCCGCCTCGCCGCTCTGGGTCGGCCCCGGTGGGCCTGCCGATTTCGATGACGAAGACGAAATCGAAGACGAGGAGCTGGTGGTGGACGTGGTGGTGGACGTGGCGGACTGGACGCGCGAGAAGGACGTCCAGAAACTGGAGGGCCCGCCGGAACCCGACGGCAGTTCGAAGCTGACCGAGGTCTTGCTGCGGTGGGGCCCGACGGCGCCTGAGCTGCTGCTGCCAGTGACGGTGCCGCTCACGCAATACAGCGTGTCGCTGTTGAGGTTCGGGCAGACGACGCCCGGGTTCAGGGCCTGAAACTCGGTGACAGTCAAGGCCCACTCACCGGCAAACTCCGAGCATGTGGTGTTGTCGTCGGCACCGATCTGAAAGTAACAGTCGACGCCTCGGGCCGCAATGGGTGCCCAGGCAGCAACGGGGGCAACAGGGGCCGGCGTCGGGACGGGGACGGCGACCGCTGCGACGAGTACGGGAGAGGCGGCCAGGAGCCCGAGGGCAAGGGCCATGAAACGGCCCATTCTGTTTATGATTTCTGTTTTGGTTGTAAGAAAAAGGAGTGTTATTAAATCGAATGGGCTTGTGAAAAAGAGACACTGGTGCGAATGGCAAAGACGACACAATAGCGACTAGCCAAGGCAGTTGGGAAGAAAACGAGAGACTGATAAACGAAAGACTGGGAGACGGGGAGGGAAGAGGGGATGCTGGTGATGGACCAGAGGTACAGAGAATTTCGAGAAATCCTCAAGATGATATCTCGTTACTATGCTGGGGAGACGATCTTCTCCTCCAGGGGACGACTGTCCGATGGTTTATACACGTTATGAGCGCCACATTCGGTCGTGTAAGTCAAAGTGGAGAGATAGCCGGTCTGACCAGGGAAGTCAGAATCCTACGGCAGGCCCAAAATACGCGCGGCTCTTGCGGTCTTCGCCCAATATCCGCCCGATTCCCGAGTAGTGGGCGTAGGAGATGAAGAAAGCCAATGTGTAAAACATCAGCTCGAAAATATTAAACCTTCACAGGAAAAGTAACGAAATAGAACACAAGCCTGTGATGTTCGCTCAGCAGAAAACGTGCCGAAGACAGGCGCTCCCTCGGTCGTGGCAGGCTTATACGAGGCACGTTCCTCGGTCTGTGTCTTTCTTTCGTCTATTTTATTTGAGTTTCTCTTTTTTTCCGTCGTCAGCTTCGCACGACTTTGTTTCCATCGAGAGCCACCGACGATCCCGCGTGGTGAGAATTAAGGTTGTATCGTACATGCGCGTGAAATGAGTGTCCCGAGGAAATGAAATTGGCAGTGGGGGTTGAGCATGTCCGCCGTTCAACTTTTTTTTTTTTTTGTACGGGGTAAGATGTTGGCGAGCGATCGGCGGGAGCATCGATGCTTTTGCACCAGCGGAAGTCTAAGAGATGTGCAGCGATAAGTCACGTTTCGGGTCCTCCGCGGGGGCATATGATACGGGGTCACTGAGATAAATCGTAGGGACGCAGACCCCGGCGTCGGTGTGGGCGACAAAGACCGATATGCTGGCGATGGTCCCTGGCGGCGGGTCCCTTTTTCTGGCGTTTTCTGTCGATAGTCTGACTTGCATGTTTAGCGCGCTGCTTGTTGCCGAATCCTGAACGCCCAGTGATTGCGGGCCGTTGCGGCAAGGATTGTGGACAAAAAGGAAGTTGTGGAATCGACAGAGAGTGGGACAGCTTTGTGGGTCCGGAACCAAAAATGCTCCGTGAGATCGACCGCTGCCGTCAGCCGCTGTCAACCACCACACAGCTGCACAGCGAGCGCACGTGGCGTCGTTGGGCGCCTGCAATTGGCGGAGGCGCGGTTGTGGCGCGGCCGGCAGGCTGGAAGCAACGTCGTATGTCGCACGGAGGACGGACCTTCGGCACCGTCAAATGGTCCGGAATGTTGCTGCAGCGTACATTATGTACGAAGATACAGTTCCCCCGCGCTAGCCAGTACCTGCACAAGAAGTGGAGCCTGGGCGACTAAAGTGTCCCTATGGTTGCAGAATACATCGAAAGTTCACAGTACTCCGTAAGTAAGCTTAATTTAGCTTTTTTTTTTTTTTTTTTTTTGGTTTGTTTTGCATACCTGCCCCTTTTCGGTTGGAGAGCGGTTGGCGGTTGGTCGGGGGTGTGAACCACTCCATACATGTGCATCATGTGCTTCTTTCTGTGATTCTATTCTTGCATGAGGTACCTGACTTTCCGTCTTTCGCTCCCTCGAATCATACGACTCTTTTTGTTTCTCGGCTTTTCGTTTTCGCTCCCCTTTCTGTCTCCCTTTCACCCTCCCCTTCCCCCCTTTTCATTTCCTCTGCTCTCTCATGCTTCCTGCCGCATGTGTTTCGCCCTGTATCGCCAGCAAAATTAGCGCCCTAACATCCCCCCGCAACGCATGCCCGTGATGTCCTTCCGCCGCGCAGCCCTCTTGCTCGCCACGGCCTGGGCTTTGCCGGCCATCGTCACGGTCAACGCCATCACGTTCCCACAGACGGTTGAGGTCGACCTCGTTTTCCCGCGCAACGAGACCTACGCGCCGTCCCCAATCTTCCCCGTCGTCTTTGCCTTCCAGAACCCGGCCCTGGCGCCGGCGCTGGACCCGGACTTCAGCCTCAACCTCTGGGTGAACGTCGAGCACAACACCTCAATATATCTGAATAGCATTGACCTGACGGCCGTTAACTTCACCAGCACCACTGCCGCCAACGGCACCAGCGAGCCACTCTTCGTCTACACGTACGCCGTCAACCTAAACACAACTAGTAATGGCGCCGACCCGGTGACGCGGTACAACCTGGTCTGGGCGTTTGGCGCCGGTAACTGCTCGGCGCAGGAGGAAGGCGGGCCCATCGCACTTGGCGGCGGCTTCCGCAGCAAGAACGTCATCTTCTCGATTGCGCAGAGCGGCGGCGCCGCGCCCGACATTGCCGGAGGCGAAGTTGGCGAATGCTCGCACCTGACCAACATGGCCTTCAACCTGACCGACATTCTGCCCGTGGCCGACGTGAGCAAGAACGACGGCCACGACACGTGCGCCGTGCTCTCGGACACAACGCCGTTACCAGTTGGCAACCCATGTGCGGCCACGGCCGACGCGGCTGTGGCAGCGAGCATCTCGGCGGCCGCGACGTCTCACGTGTGCGCGGCCGTCAGCCCTGCGATCAGCTGCCCCAGCAAGAATTCGGGCGCGGCCCTTTCTGTCCACGCTGCCAGTGCATGGGCAGTCGCTGCTCTGGCCACAATGATTCTTCTGTAGCGGGCCAGTGCAAGTTGTTGCCGTTTGACCGGAGGCGAATAGCCGTTTTTACAGAAGTACAGACCCAACCACATTATTTTTATTTCACTCTGGGGGTGGCTTGGAACCTGCAGGATGTGGCACACTACGGTGTCCCCCATAGCAAGCAGACCCCCTGCAGGAACGGAAATACCAAAGATCCCCTTATATCCAATTTGTAATAATAGCATTTGTTTATCTCCTTAGTTGCCAAAATATGACTTTTTTCAGCCGCACGCTGTGATTGGCTCTAATCCCTGATTTTGACCCACTGATACTTCCAGATACATAGCCTTACAACGTAACTTTGAAGTCACTCTCGTTTCAGCTGTTTGCCAGCCAACTCTCAGTGACTTCTCGATGTCAATAAACGCTCGGACCAACAACACGAGCAGTGTAGGTACACGTAAGTTTCGCGCGCCCCATTCCAAAAAGTCATATTTTGGCCACTAAGGAGATACTCTTGGCAAATACAAACAAATTCAACAATTTGAGTACAAAGTACCTTCGCACGTCGTAGAAACCAGAAGCAGGACTCGCACTACCCAAGACAAACAATCACAGCCAAGATCCAGCACCGAGACAGGCCGGAATCAAAACCAGGTACCAGGAACCGGAACCAGAAAGACAGATGATAGGCCGTGTTCTTGGCAAAGTGCGAGCGCCGAGACAAGCTTTGGCGCCCAGGCAGTCACCACCCACCCCCGTGTTCGCTATTCTATTCTGCTTCCCACTTGGACCTTGTTGAAAGTGGCTATGTCGGATACGCCGGCGGCCAATATGGTTCCGCGGCAGCCAGTGACCGACTTTCTTCGTTGCGTACACCCGGAACGGAGTACTGCGTCAGGTAGCAAATATAGTCTCTGAGGCTCTCCTAGAAGTTGTGCGGCGGTAGTCCCTGGCTGTGCCGTGCCTTGAAAGCCTACACAGCCTTCGCGTTTACTTTACTAAGCTTTTCTTCTCCACACCCCCCTGCAACATACTCCGTACTCTGTACATGCAGTGTGCACATTCCTACAAGAGTCCACCAGAGAGGGCGGCTATCTAAAGACAAGGGTATGATGTAGGTATTATGGAATACAGCATACGGAAAATACGCGGTACGGACCAGTGACAAAACGAGAAAAAAAAGAAAATAGGAAAATAAAAAAGAGTGCTTCTACAAAGGTCTGTCAACAAAAAAACCGCCCCCCGCGCACACGTGTGCCGTCTTGTCGTTGTCGTTTCTGCTCGGATTTCTCGCGTCTCTCTCAGTTGTCATTTTGGGCATTTTAAGATGACCCCTACTGGAACCATGGGAGGGAGTGGGTCCCCGTCGATCGAGAGCTGCCGATCCCTCAACTGTGCGCACATTTCTCGGTGTCCGGATCGGAATGGGCACAGTGACACACAAAAAAAATCAACTGTCAGCAAAAGGGTAACTGCAAAAATGGACCCGCAAGGATGTATCACCATCTCGATTTTTCTGGTAATTAAGAAACCGTCCAGGGTTAAGCATACGTGCAAACGACCACGGCAATGCGAGCATGCAGGGGAAGCGTGAGATGGATAATACAAATAAGAAACTAAGAAAGAAAGAAAAAATGAAAAAAAGAAAGAAATTGTCAAAATAGAGACCGAGAAAAAGCAATGAGGCGACCAGGGGCAATGCACTGCGTGCTGAAAATGCTATGCGCCTCCATTTACTCGGGATCCGCGGCATCGGGAGACCGATGCGGTTCTTGAGACACGTTCCTCGACCCGGGCAAGCGAAACAAAAAGGCACGGGCATCCTCTGGCGATGGTCTCAACCGGAAATGGCTTCTTCTACTCTCTTTCTCAAACAAAGGCAACTTGGCTCTCAGCCGCCATCAAGCATTTTCCTCGCCTTCTTTCCTAGGAGCTCTGCTCTCACACTCCACAGTAACTTTCTGTGGACGAGGCAGTTTTCTGTCCTGTCATTTTTTGATATCTCGAACCAATTGTCGATTCTGTCCAAATTTTTACCTTGAGCCGTTTTTGGTTCTATCCATTCTTTTGTTGAGTTCTTTGAACTCCGTCCCTTCACTTTAAATTATACACTTTTCATATACCAGCCACAATGCTTCCCGCGTGGCTGTCGTCGGCAGCGGCCGCCGGCCTGCTGCTGCTGTCCTCTGGGCTGATCAGCGGTGTCGATGCCCGCTTCAAGCTGCGTCAGCCTGCGGCTCCCCACTACAAGAGCCGTGACGGTGACTGCCCCATCTCCTGCATCAAGGCCGGGCCTGATCCGGCCAACTGGCCGGTGTACCGCAGCGTAGAACAGCTGAGCCGCTGCTCGGAGACCATCTTCTACCACATTTCGCTGTACGATAACGTCGACAAGGATGACTCACACCATCGCATCTTTGCGTGCTCGTCGTTTGGCTCCCACAAACCGGCGTCCCCGGCCCACTCCAACAAGATTATCACCCAGGTGGCCACCAACGCCACCTTCACCGTCGGCCACTGGGACGACAACACGCCTACCAACGTCGACCTGCGCACCATGTCTGCGCAGGCGCGCCGCTTCCTGAGTGCTGGCTACCAGGCTGCCAACAACGGCAGCCACACCGCCCAGCCGCAGGCGCAGGTGCTGTTTGCCCAAACCCGCGGCAGCACCATGGGTCTGTACGTCGGCAAGGACGTGCAGAATATGGCGTCCGTGGTGCAAGCCCTGTCGACACTGGAGAAGACCATGACAGCCTCAAACGAGACACACGGCACCGTGGCGCTCGAGCTGTGCGGCGCCGAGTACGATGCCGACCACGTGATCGGCTTCGTGGCGACGAGCAACTCGTCGTTCGAGGCAGTGCAGAATGTGATGCAGTCGTGGTCCAAGGCCACGTGCATTGACTTTAACTCGACGCAGACGTTCGTCAGCCCCGTTGGTTACACGACACCCCTGACGCCGCCGGCCAGCACGAGCTCGCTGAACAGCACGGGCTCGCTGAACAGCACTCTCTCCGCGGCCAAGAGAGGCCTGGGTCTAGGCGCCCGCTCCCACGCCCACGCCCACGCCCACATTGCGGCCCGCTCCAGCCCGCTCCTGTCCCCACGTGCCGACTGCACGACCGTCCAGGTCGTCTACGGCGACGGCTGCGGCACGCTGGCCACGAAGTGCGGCATTTCTGGCGCAGACTTCACTAAGTACAACCCCGGTGCGACGTTCTGCTCGGACCTCAAGCCCGGCCAGCATGTGTGCTGCTCGGCGGGCACGCTGCCCGACTTTGCCCCCAAGCCTAACGCGGATGGCTCGTGTTATGCCTACACCGTCCAGGCCAACGACAACTGTGCAACCATTGGCGCATCGTTTGACCTCACCAATGACCAGATCGAAGGCTTTAACAACGACACGTGGGGCTGGCAGGGCTGTGGCAACGTGCTCCTAGGCGCCGTCATTTGTTTAAGCAAGGGTTCTCCCCCGTTCCCGTCGTCCCTGTCCACCGCCGTCTGCGGCCCCCAGGTGCCGGGCACTGTGCCGGGCCCCGGTGGCACCTTTAACCTGTCGGGTCTCAACCCCTGCCCGCTCAACGCCTGCTGCGATATCTGGGGCGAGTGTGGCATTACGGCGGAGTTCTGCACGGATACCAGCCTAGGGCCCCCGGGAACTGCCAAGAACGGTACCTACGGCTGTATCTCTAACTGCGGCACAGACGTGGTGAAGGGCCCCGGGCCAGCGAATCCGATCAAGATTGCTTATTACGAGGGATACG